CCGGTACCTGGTTTGGGGGTGCGGCCCGCCGGAGAGGGGGGTCACCCAGTCAGAGGGATGTTATTGAGTGGAATCGGGGGAAATGCGGGGAAATGCGGCGGTGGGCGCCCGGCTCCCCATTGGCCGGGCCGGTCACATGCCCGCCTAACTTTATTCAGTTGACAGCAAGTAGGAGGGCTCTATGGCAGGGGAAAAAAAGACAACACGAGAAAAATTAGTATTTTCTACCTTCAGAAATTAATGGCCATGAGTTCGTATATGGTGAACTCTAAGTATGTGGATCCCAAATTTCCTCCTTGCGAGGAATATTTGCAGAATAGCTACCTAGGCGAGCAGGGGGCCGAGTACTACAGTGCCTCGCAAGGCTCTGATTTCCAGCACCAGGGACTCTATCCACGGTCAAACTACAGCGAGCAACCCTTTAGCTGTAGCAATGCCCAAGGCTCTGCCGGGCAGCCGCGGGGTCACGGACAGGAGCAATCCGGCCCGGCAAGCCACTTCCCCGGCCCAGCAGAGCATTGTCCACCGCCTCCAATGTCCAACTCGCGAGCCTGCAGCCAGCAGCCGGCCCTCAAACCCCCAAACGGCTCCGCAGTTAAGCAGCCAGCAGTAGTTTATCCCTGGATGAAGAAAGTCCATGTAAACTCGGGTAAGGATCCTCTTCTTACTTTGCTCTTCTACCCTGCTTCCGATCGTCCTCAGCGGCGCTTGCCCGAGTCCCTGCCAGGCTCGTGGACGAGCTTTTTAAGCCGAGGTGGCCAATTACACTCGCCATAAATTTTTATTGCTGAGGAAATAGGCTGTTGGCCACGCGGGGCTTTGCCGTGCAGGATAAAACTCCATTTTAGGAGCCTGCTAGAGGCTCCCAGACTACCTAGCTGCGTGTGCCCGTAGTGCCTGCCTCAAACGTGGGGGAGAGCAGCCCGTCCATTGTAAGCAACTGGGACGAATCCAGCCCGGCCACATGCTCGCAGCTCATAAGGTTTTCTTTTGTAAAGTCGAACCGGCAAGTCAAGATTAGCTTTGTAAAGTTCTCCGTATTTTTTTCCCAGTGAATCCCAATTACAACGGAGGGGAACCTAAACGCTCCCGCACAGCTTACACCAGACAGCAAGTCCTAGAACTGGAAAAAGAATTTCATTTTAACAGGTACCTGACCAGGCGCCGCCGTATCGAGATAGCCCACACTTTGTGTCTCTCTGAGCGCCAGATCAAGATCTGGTTTCAGAACAGAAGAATGAAGTGGAAAAAAGATCACAAACTGCCCAACACGAAGGGCAGGTCTTCTTCATCTGGTTCAAACCCCCATTTACAAACTGGTTCCAAGGACCATCAGACTGAGTTGACAACTTTGTAGAAGAGGTGAAATTTTCCATTTCATCCTTCGCTTCTGACCAGTACTGTACATAACTGACACTGCCCAAGCAGAACCTGCATGTAGCAGCTAAGGACACGAGAAACTGTCATCTTTCTTTAAGGTACTGTTGTACAAAGGAGACAAAATGACGCTACTTTGGACTTTATTTTATTTGCCTCTTCTGGCACAACTTAAAAAAGGAAAACAAAAAAAGGGGAAGGAAAGACAAAGGGGAAAGAAAAAAAAAAACAAACCATCACGCAGGCAGTGGGAATTGGGAAAATATTAAATGAGACCTTCTGTCCTTAAAAAGTAATAAATAATTGAAAATGAAACTGTCCTGTGTTTCAGTTTTGAATTCGAAAGTGAAGATTGGATACTTTATTCTGGGATTTATACTTTTAATTGTCTTTTTATCCCATGTAATTTGGGCACGGATGCATTTTGGGCAAGTTGAGGACAGGAAATTCATAGTATAGTCTTTTATTTGAACATAAAGACTATTAAATGTGAACTTTTTTTGTGCTGCTTTACCTTTCTTGGTGTGATGAAAATACTTGCTCATTTCCATAACGTCTCAGAAGGTGTGCATAGGAATTAAGTGAAAACGGGTTATTTTATGTTCTGATAGTGTTAGCGTATTTATTTATTTGTTACATAGAAGAGTGAAGACAAAAAGAAAAATAGTCAAACCAAAAATGGGGAAGAGGAGCTGAAATACAGTATTTCTCCTTCCCAATCTCATCAACACATATGTAATGTTTACTTGTCTTGAACGTACACAACTTTCTTGTCCCCCCTTTTTTTATTATTTTCCTCATTTGTGAATAGGAAAAGCGTCCCTGCTCCTTATCGTGTGTCATCCAGAGCTTACAGGCTTGAAATCTGTTTCTAAAGTCTGCTGCTCAGCGCTGTGCTTTAAACCATCAATACCTCATTTTAAAAATGGAAAGGGAAAAAAAATGAAAAAAAAGAGGGGAGACCACAAAAAACACCTTCCCCCCAAAAAAAAACCCAAACCCAAACCCCAACAAACTCGAAACAAACAATAGAACTACCACCATCACCAAAAAAAAGTGAAAAGTTAATGTGATTTCTGATATAACCTGAGCCATTCAAAGCTGAAAACTGAATATATTATTTCAATCAGATTTCAAATTTCTTTTCTGCTAAAGAGAGATAGGCTATGTTGGCTGCTGTCTTGCTTTGTTTTAGGTTTATTTTGGTCTGTTGGATTTTTGTGGTTTGGGTTTGTTTAGGTTTTTGGTGTTGTTTTTTGTTTGTTTTAAGAACAGTGATTGTTTTTAAGCAAACCACGACACATGACTGCAACGGTTGGAAAGCTCAGCAAGTTGCTTTCATGGAAAGAGGAAAGGCTTGCATGGGAATAGAGCTCGTGTAATACTCACTGATTTGGCCCTGACTGCTGGTTGCCAAAGTTTTAGTGCGCTGTAACTACGAAAGCCAACCAAACCAGCTCCCTCAGCCACTTACACCTCCGCTCAGGCGATTTTAAAGCTCAGCCCTTATCTCCTGTACCCTCAGGGCAGCCTGGGAGAGAAACCATATAGTCGAAATTGTAACGAGGTTGTCCCTTTATTAAAGAGAAAAGGGGTAAGGAATGAAACTCATACCAAAACTGAAGGGAGGTGGAAAGAGCAGGGGCTGAGTTAACGTGCCCTTCTCCAGGCTGGGTGCTTCCCATCGAGGACTCAGGGCTTTTGGGCTCGCTCGGGAAAACAGAGGCCAAAATGAGATTAAATGAATTCGAAAATAAAAAGCGAACTTTTCAACAAGGGTGTATTCAGCAGTGTTAACTGTGGCCAGCAGTTAATTTCTGCCTTTTTCTCATTCCTAGAAGTCCGCAAAGTGTCTTTAAGACTTGGTCTTTTGTTTTAGAGCCTGGAGAAAACTCTTTGTTCTTCCTTAGGGTTAGCCCAGTTCTCAGACTTGCACATGGCAATACTTGAATATCTCCACGTCGTGATATTAAAGATGGATATTCCCGCATTATTCGCATCATTGTTTCTATGACAAAAAGCACCGAGTTCATACATAGTAAAGACGTCTTTTTTTCTGGCGCCTTCACGTTGAGAAGCTGAAAAGGTATTTTACTGAAGTTCGGCTAAATTGCAGGAACAGGTTCACCCAGAGGACAAATTTTCTATTCGATTAGTTGTATTTCAGCCGGGAAGAGTGACCTCTAAACCCTTAACCTTTTGGACCCAAAATACCCTTCCCTTTCTCTGGTATGGAGAGCAGCTAGCAGCAGGGCTTGCGGAGGGAATTCCTGAGACAAGTTTTCAAGTTTTGTTACACCAGGTTCCTACGGTAGTGGCCTTTCCTCTCCAGAGCTGTTCAAAGCCATCCTTTCACTCTTCAGACGAATCTACGAAAATAAAGGGGGGGAAAAAAAGGGTGTGGAGAAGTAAAACCTCTCTAGCTGCTCTTCTTGAAAATCCCCCTCCCGGACCCCCGCTGTTTACTTAAAGTCTGTGATAAGTTGACTGGGAGCAGGGAAAATGTGTTCTGAGAGAGAGACACCTACTTTGGCATCTGTGGTACAGTTCTGGAAAATAATGGCCTTGGATAAGCAAATCCTTGCTTTGTGCTTCTAATCGACCGAGATGGCTCCCGAAGTTAAAGGACCAACTTCTGCTCCCAGATTACCTTCCCCCGCCCACTGAAGTCAAACAGGGATGTAGCTGCGAGCAGAATTTGTCTCATTGTCTTTTGAAATGTTAATAACTCCGGGACGAGTGTTGGGTTCAGCAGGCACAGCTCTTACAACCCTGTTTGCAAGCACCCTTTGAGCGAGGCCGGGGCACTATAGGTTTACATAGGTGTAATTGCGCTGTAAGATCGGAGAATACTTGAAGTGGAGGCAGAAAGTACCAAAAAGAAGTAGTTTTAAGCTGCCAATGCTCTGAAGGGTCAGGAATGTCTGTAATAGCGACCAGGAGCACCCACTGGTCCTTATCCCCGGTGCAAAACGAACCTGATGTTTATTTTTTAATGGTTTAAACCCCTCTGCAGAGATATTTTGTGTATGAAGCGAAGTCGGTTATTTTTGTTGACCATGGGTGAACGTTGTGCATTGGAGCCTTTGTTAAACGGTCGCATTGTTCAGCAAATATTCTCATCTCTGTTAAAGTGTGATGCTTTTTATAGACTTTGCTGATGTTTTGCTGCCATTGATTAAAGCGTTATTTATACTAACTGTCGCCTGTAGTTTTGATGTAAGACCTCCACATAATTTTGAAATAATAAAAGGTGTAGCGAAATAGATTCTGGTTTGTACCTTGAACAAACAGTGCTTACAAGGTAGATCTCTCTTCTGTGAAAATGCTGGTCCCTCCCATCATTACAGTGTTAAAAGATGAGTGACTCTGCATAGCATCCTTCCAAATGTCCCTTTGAACAGGTTTGCTGTTTGCCCCAGCCATAATGGTGTGACTCTAGGCCAAGCTGGAGTCTATATTTACTTTTAGGCTGCAGTTAAAAGTGCCTGTCATCCATTTGCTGCTGCTTTGCATTTAACAAGCCCTCCTAGAATGACTCCCGGATTTCTGCATGTGTGGTAGGAGTCAAGGAGCCACACCTGAAGTCACCTCGATCCCCACGCAGATGTGTGCCTTTTAGGTGAGTCCTGGAAGGAACCAATGCAAGAAAGAAATGGAAATTTCAAATTGCAATGTAGAGACTAGCTTTTCCTGAGCAGTAACCCTCATTTTGACAGTGGAAGCAAAAGAAAGATCACAAGAAAACACAAACTTGGAGATTTTAAACTTTCCCCTGCAACTAAGGCAAACATTTTTTTCTCCCCTGTGTAAGCACCTCAGACAATAACACATACATCTAGCCAGGAGAAGTCGATCGCACTATTTTTGTAATAAGTACTTGTCACTGAGGGCTTGTCCTCTCCTGGAGCGTGGTCAAGGCACGAGTCCAAAAATACAGTCTCTGGCTCAGCCCAGCCAAGGAGCAGGGTGCACAGCAGAAGACATGTGTCTCTACTGCCCAAGTGCATGGAGGGGAGCGTGAGGGTGCCTTTCTAAGCACACAGTCGCTAAGTTTAAATATTGAGGCGTATTTTGTGATTACACCTTCTCTCTCTCCTCTTTAATAGCTCCTCCTGTTACTCCCGATACATCAATACAGTTCTGTATATTATATCACCACTAGTCGTTAAGGTAAGAATGAAGAGGAAAGGCAGAGTCAATAGCAAACCCCACTCACTGTACAGTACAGTAAATAGGGACCTCTCGGTGCAGAGCCACACCGCTTCCAACGGCCATGTTTGTTAGCCCTTTCCCCTGATTCTTTTTCCTTTTTTTTTTTTTTTTTCCTCCTTCCCCCCAAGCCTAGAGACCAAAATAATCTTGCTAGGAACAGTCATAACAGGCAGAATTTCAAAGTGCAAGGAAGATGATAAGAATAGATTTCTACAAGTCCTGACCACGTGATTTGCGAAATAATTAATTCAGCACGTCCCTTAAGAAACACGGAGTCGTCATTAATCTGCCAAGCAAAGGACTCTATCAGACTTGAAAACTGAAGAGATCCCAAGAATATAATATACAAAGAGTGCAGTCCCTCTCCCTGCACACCTAGCTCTTTGGTAGCTGCTGAAAAAGAGACGCCTGGTACGTAAATATTTTTTATTTTTATTTCTCCTTATTTAAGCCTTAATGAACTCAGCTGTCAAACACTTGACAAATAGGGCACGCTGCTTCCTGATTTCCAGCTCGGCAGCGGCCGGGAACCGGACCGGGCGCAAGCGGTGACCTTTGCTTCCCAGGGAGCGGGGGAAAGAGGACGAGCGCGGAGCGCCGCGGAGCACCG